TGAGCAGCGCTGTAGGGGCTAGAGGACGCAGGCTGTTCGCTGCTCGTTCTGTGAGCGGAGGAGAAAGAGCGGCCCGCTCAGACTCTACTCAGCACTTTTCACTGCTTGTAATTCTTACACAGCTGAATCAATTACCTCAAGTTTTCAATTAAATGATGTATTATGATACAACTTGTATGTAGTAAAAAGCATTTTTATGAACTACTTAGAAAAAAAATCGGGTATAGCTTCTTTAAAAGAAAGACTCGGACACTGTGATGTCAATGGTGCTGACTGCTCTGTACAATCTGAATGGGACATACCTGTAGCAACAGCAGCCTGTGCTTGTCCCAGGATACGGCCTGGCTATAGCTAATGCTAGCGCTAGCTCGAGACTAGGGCTTTGACTTTGAAATTTGAATATAATTCTAAAATAAAAAAATATATATATTTGAACAAATATTAGACAGCCCTTATAATTCGAAAGGTATTTAATGACTGCAAATAAAACGTGCTAGGCAGGTAATAGCTAAGCAAGCTAGTTCAAAAACTCCCTGTAACCAAGCCCCGGCGATCCAAGATGGCGTCCTATTCAAATGAATGGTTGTGCTCAGTGGCGCTTTGTGACGGCATGCTGGCTGAAAGATTAGCGGAAGTCACCTGGAACTCACAAAGATCTATGGGAAACTCGCCTGTATTTGGGCATCCTCTGGTCCTCCCGGTTCTGCGCAGTGGATGATCTCCCATAATGCGTTGCGTCAAACACGCGTGTGTGGGTCTCACACCGGGTCTCACGCACGTGCACAGAGGGGCTCGGCCGCGCTCTGACCAATCAGAGCAGCTCATCAGAGCGGGAGTTAGAGCGAGAGCCAGAGGAGCAGAGTTTGTGGCACTAAAGTGTGGATTTAAACAAAACCGAAGGATTTAAGAAGAAAAAAAGTTCAGGATGACAAGGGACACTAAAATCCCCACAAAATCCGACCTTTATGAAAGCTGTAGGTTCTCTGTCAGCTGAGGTTGAGCTGTTTTAATATGCATTGAGTCCTATGGGGAAAATTTCTGGGTAGCCCACGTGAATTTAGTCTGGTTCAGTCTGCAGTACCGCGAGAATCCCCCGAGCACATGAGTTATTCAGCTACAAGCTAGTAATACCCTATCCAGTTATTATAATAGATCCATGGCTAATACAGAGTGTCTTTTGTTGTGTTGGTACTTCCTTTCCAATCTGCATATGAAGGTGTGTCTTGTTCTATCAAATGGACCTTGGAGTAGAGTTTCGTTTGGGCCTGAAAAATCAAGCCCGACCCCGCTAATATTATGCCCGAGCCCGTATAAGCCCGACCATTTAACGCTGTATAATAGGCCCGAGCCCGACAGAAGCCCGACACATCTGATTTCCCTTGTTGTACTCACCTTCCAATTGCAAGTTTAGCTCTCCACTTTTGAATTTGTTTTGTACCTCCACTCGATCCATTTCTATTAAAGTTTGTGAAGTTTAGGAACCACTGACAGAGGAGGATTTCGTGGTTTGAAAGTTAGGGACCCCAGCTTTCGTTTCATATTTGACGTGTTTCCAGTCACATAAGAGAGGGGAGAGGTTGGAACAGTCCATGTGCAGATGAGAGGGGAGTGAAACTTGCTGACTCAGGTTCATGACTTTCTAATTCTATAACGACAGAAAAATGAAATGAAAGCATGTTTGTAAAGTATTTTATATAAACAATCCAATAAAGTTTATTCCAAAGAATCGTCAGCCAATGGTCAACAGCAGCTCGAGTCCAAATCTCTGCTGTTGGTTCCTTAAGTCAGGATTTGACCTAATGATGTTTTTTGAGGTAGGGGAAACCTACGCAGACACGGGGAGAACATGCAAACTCCAGTCAGCAAGGTCCTGTTCTGACCGGGATTAGAACCCAGGACCTCCTTGGTGAGAAGGCAGAGTGCTAACCACTCAGCCACCATGCCGCCCTATTGTTGTCAGAAAGAACCTCAGAGAGAAACATTAGTAAGACTCTCAAGGGGTGTTCACACCGGACGTTAACTTAACGTCAAAAGCGTCAGGTTTGCATTGAAAGTGAATGGTAAAGCGCGTCAGGTGAAGCCGAGGGGCCCGGCGTCACTTGACGCGTATCAAAACAATCCCTTTGACGCCGAAGCTGAGCAAAGCTGAGCTTTTGAAGCTTTGACGCGGGCTTCAACCAAGCAGCAGAGGGTCTGTCTCTGTCATGAAGAGAAGTCATGTCTGCTGCTGCTGTTTTATTGTCATTATTGTTATTAGTAATATTATTTGTATGAGTAGTAACGTTCTGAGTAACAAAAATCATTGTACACATGTTGTGGTGAACCCAGAACATGTTTTGTTGAAGCCCTACAACAACGTCATTTTGCTTTATATAAAAAATAAAGGCTCTCTGCTCATTGAAAAATCCACTGCTGTCCTGACAGAGAGCTCCTCCCACCGGCGTCAGGCGCGTCACTCGCGTCAAAAGCTTCAAGCACCAAAATGACAAAACTATCCTGGCGTCAGTTGAAGCGCGTCAAAAGCCTTTTGAAGCTTTTGGTCTGAACGCGCCTTAAGTCTTATTACAGTCTTACTAACGTCTTATTAAAAGACCTAAAAAGTTATTTTAATAAGACAGACATTAAAGAAAACTAAACTAATTAACTAATGAATGACCTAATATTTCGGCCAAAACGTTAGGTCATTCATTAGTTAATTAGTTTAGTTTTTGTCTAAAAGAACCTTCTAAGGTTCTTTTAGACAAGGTCTTTAGTCTCAGTGAAAGACTGAGACAAATGTCTAAAGTTTAGAGCTTCCAGCTCAGAGACTTTCCGGATCTTGGTCTGAGAAGTGGAAAAGTAACTGTAGTGATCCTGGTCCTGCTCAGAGGGAGGAGCTCTCTGAGACCTCTGTCCTCAAGTCTTTGGTCCATGGTCTTCCTGCTCCAGTCTCCCCAGAGAAACTATTGGGGATCCGTGGAATCCTGGCTTTTAATCCCGAGCTCAGGGAAATATCATTCAAAGCACTTTCTTTCTTTCCATTTGTGATTTAGATTCAGGATCAGGTTCAGCGAAGGGTTCAGGTGAGATAAGAACAGTTAACTTAGTTATGGTGAGGTCAGGCTCAGGGTTTGGACCACTTCCTAAATTCTTTGTATTTTAGAAAATGGCCACAAAAGCCTTCCCTTAACCCCAACCTGAACCAAAGTCCCTGCTCCTATCACATTTACCCTCTAACCTTGGCCTGGCTTGCCATCACACATGTAAAGAATGAAGTAGCAGTGAAAGTAGAAGATCCCCCTCAACCCAAGTCCAAATGCCAAGATTCTCATGAGTCCCAGGTCATCTCAGCCGGAGATTCTAAAGCTGCAGCGGCTACAGACCAAAGACTTGAAAGACTGGAGTCATCACTAACTTCTCTGTAGGACGAGGATCACACAAGTTTGCATTTCTGACGTGTCTCTCCTGCTCTGCTTGCCCTGACTGTCTTTTTTCCTAGACTTCTGCCTGTATACAACTTGAAAAAATGATGGAATTAATCAACTGGTCCCTCAACGCAATTGATACTATTTTTTCATCACGTAAAGGCGGTTCTGGAGATGCCGTTTGCCCGGATGGTACGGCGGCTGCTGGGTACGTTTTTGACAACTGGCAAAAGTGGCACCCCGTTTGTCTGTCGGGACTGTCCATCGAGGACATTGAGGATATATACATTTTTGGATTTATGGTAGCAGGGTTCCTCCTGATTGGATTTGGAGTTGGCTTGATCTACCACAAAGTTGGAGGGCTGTCCACTCAGAAGATTTACGAGCGGCTGTCCGCGGAAAACAAGGAGAGTTTCCGCGAGTTGGTCAGAGTCGTGGTCGAGGGCACAGTGGGGACACAACGGGGGGTGAGTCGGATCGAACATTCCCTTAACGACCTGGGAGTGAGATCTTTGGATGGACTTAAACGCGTGGAAGGATTGATTGAAGGATTTGGGCCTCACGGTGGAACCTCGTACTGACGTGGTCAACTCCGGATAACGGTGAACGGAGGGTCCAGTTCCAGTATAATTTGGACATATTGGCTTTAGTTTACACTGCCTTTCATTGATCAGCTAAAAGTGCTTATTCAAATTTCTCACAAGGGCATGTGTTGTTTTGTCTCCAATGTTTGCAGGCACCTGCGCTATCTTTGTCCTTCACATTCCACCACCACACACGGCCACTCAAGGCTGACACTGGACTCTTATCTATCTCAGACTCACAACTCAGAACACCAGTTACAGTCCCCCCCCCCCCTACATGTCTGCCTCTCTCTCTTTTTCAGTCTATGGTGGTCTTCCCCTCCACCTCCCCCACCCACACTCCCCTCTGACGCGCTATATTGGACGAGGCGGGCCAGAGTGATGACTTCCCATTAAAAAGATCCGCATGTTTTTCCACATGTACCGTGTCTCTCCCCATGTTTGTTGAAATATATGTCTGTTTTGCTCTATGCTGTTGAATAACTGTTATTCTACTGTTTGTCGCATGGCGCCGTAAAAATGGCGCCGTGGCAAGAGCTCTGGTGTGGGTCGTCTTCTGGTGCACACCGGGGTAGTCTTGCACAGTTTTCCAATGTGGTTTTACTGCAAATGGCAAATAAATGAATCTGAATCTGAATCTGATTTCCATCTTTCAGACCAGATCAGAAAAGGAGGAGAATCTCTGGCCTTGGTCTCCCTGAAGATACTCGTATCCGATGGAGAGGTCAGAGCTGGGAGTTCGCCTTAGTCCACTTGTGCTTTGTGGATCTGGAGAATGAGTTCAACCGTGATCCCCTGGTTCCTTTGGGGGAACCAGGAGAACACACCAGCCAGAGCTGCGTTCTCAGTAAGTCAGACCTGTTCCCGGTGTTGGAACACCTTGGGATTCCTCCAGATGAGCTGGAGCAAGTGTGTGTGGAGAGTGAAGTCTGGGCATCTCTGCTCAGACTTCTGCCCCCGCCACCCGGCAAATGACGAAGCTGAAGAAAATGGATGGATGTTAAAGTCTTACTCCCAGTCGAAGCCCGTGTTTCGTAACCTGTTTAAGCGAAACTCTGTCCTCTGCAAATTCTCAGACAAATCTCTCTTTTGGGTTTCAAGGAGGCTGACTGTGTTTCGGAGCGTCTGCTCTCTCTTCTCTGCCTCGGCCACCGTCTGTCTCAGTCGGACCAGTTCAGATTTGTTACAGTTCAGAACTTCTTTCATCTCTAAGTTCTCTACTCTGAGGGACTCTACCTCAGTCTGGAGCCCACTGTGGTGTCGCTGTTTCTGTTCCAGACTAAACGTATATTTCTCCAGAGAATCAACCTTTCCTTTAAAGATCGTAATTTCCAAACCGGAGTCCCGCGTTCTGTTCTCGAGGTCCGTCTTGTAGAACTCTAACTGCTCCATTAAATGCGCATTTGTTTTTTCTAAATCTGTGGCTACATTTTGACGGCGCCGCTGTGAATCAGATTTACATAACTCCAGCTCAGTCCGCAGGTGAGACTTTTCTCTCTTTGATTCTGACCTATATTCCTCAAATTTTTCGGCCAACTCTCTGTTTTCTGCACAAATTCTCAACATTTCATTCCTGCTTTCCCTCAGTTTTTCCTCTGATCTAAACTTAAAACTTTCAAACTCTTGGGTCAATTCCCTGTTCTGTGTCTCCAGAGACTGCACTTTCCCTTTAAGAGCCTGCTTAGTTTCTCTCAGTTCTAAAGACGTTGGACGTTGGACCTCGGCTTCCAGTTCGCGGTTCCTCTCTACATCACCTTCGGTCAGTGATGTCTCCTTTTCCTGATCCGCTGCTTTGTCGCTGCTGGCCTCGTCCTGCTTTACTTTATCCTTAAACTGATTAAGTTCAGATATATATTTCCTACATTTCTCCCTCTCTTGGCGCAAAAGCTCAAACGAAGTACTGGCCTGTGCGCAGTGCTCTAACCCTACCTTCTGTCCCTTGAAGACCGACTTGTCCTGCTTTAAATCCCCTTTAACCTCCTGCTCTACCTCCCCTTTAACCTCCTGCTCCTCCTGTTCCTCATTGATCCTAGGACCCTCTTGTTGGGGGTTTCTCTGCTCAGGCTGCAGCTTCTCCGTCTCCACAGTCTCCTGTTCGTCGTCCTGTAGCTTCTCTCTCTTAAAGACCCAGTCCTGTTGTGTCCTCTTCGCGATGCTCTCCTGGTTTTTACGAAATATCGCATCAATCCTTTCATTTAAAGCATCTTGCTCTCGAATCAAACGTGACTGATTGTCTTCGAGGTTTTCTGGCAACAGCTCGACTTCAGTGGATCTGTGGTGGATCTCTGTCCTCTCTGCCCTTTTCTCTGAATCCTGTTGATTCACGGCTTTCTCAGAACTTTTCTGAGTTTGAAAACATCTCGAGAGTTTAGTACCCATTGCTATCGACTAAAAGGGCCAGATGAAGGATAAAAAAACGAACCTTCTTCTAAGCTACTTTGCTAAGTTTCTATCTAAGTTTCTATCTTTGTCTATGTCTCCATGTCCTCTGACTCCATGGGGTCAATGTGGTCAATTGGACTCTCTCCTGACTTCCTGCTTGCCCCAATCAATGGATGCAAGTTTGACATCCAATGTCAATGCTAAACATAGTCCAGACTCAATTATGTCATTCTAGAATGATGACGTCAGTGTCCATAGCAACGTCACTGTTGCCATGGACACTCAGTGTGGCGTCACAGACCAGAGTTTCCATGGTAACTGCTCCGCGTCATCTGTTTTATAAGGCACATTTTAAGTCTTCCAGCTTTAGATAAAAAGTGACATTAAATCGTCGTCATAGTTTGTTAAAGTGCGATGCGACACTGACATTTCCCTCATGACGTCTATTCATGATTCTTCTCTGGATCCAGTTTGTTCTCCTCATTTTCATCCATCTGTTTTTGAGATTGTTTTAATAAAGTTCATCTCTGTAAAAGTCCTGTCTACAGTTGGAGGAAGTGTCTCTGCTCAGACGGCTAACGGCAACGGATAAAGCGGAAGAAAACAGATAATCAGAAAACACACTCACTAGACTCCATTTATCTATTCATCTCTGTGAAGGCTCTTTTTGATATTACTCTCAAAATAAAGATTGGGCCTCATTCACCAACATCTCCTTAAGAAATTTCTTGCATTTCTTCTCAAGTCGTTCTTAAGTAGATTTCGAAGAAGACCTTGCGTGGGATTCATCAACGCGCTCGTATGCCGCTAAATTGGTTCAATCCTGGTTTAGTTCTGATTTAATCCTGGTTTAGTCTGTTTTTGGTGTGTAAATAAAATACACTGATTGGTCCTGAGTTATTCCTGGTTCAGTCCTGGTTCAGTCCGGGTTCAGTCCTGGGTTAGGACCTGCAACCGTTTTCCAGTGCATACAATTTAGAAGCAAGTGCAAAATCTCCAGCTTCAGCATAAGAAAGAAGCAACCTGGAGTTGTTTGTAGCTACACAAACATGTCCCCCCACCCCTTCTGTCTAAATACTTCTTTGTGTGATCATTGTCATCATCTCATATTCTGACTGGTCACTACCCGAGCTGATTCTTTTTTACACAATACAGGAGTCAGTTAATGTTCTGTGTGTTTGCTCTTGACCATAGCATTCAACAGGAAAAACAGGGATGTTACGGTGTTATCAATATATTAACTTATTTTATTAACTTCTCCATCAATGGATATTATTATTATTATATGTATTTATGCATATTATTATGTATAAAAATCATAATAATAATTTAAAAATAATCATAATAATATTTTTTTTTAAAGGAGCCCAAGCCCGGCACAGCCCGGCACGGCCCGACAGCTGAACTCGGGCTGAAAAGCGAAACTCTACCTTGGAGACTGCTGAGCTTCAGACATATTTCTGGACACGAGACTGAGCTGAACTGTGCTCTGTTCTCTTCAGACATGTCTCCTTGGAAAGGCAACCAAGTAAATAAAGAATGCCTGAACTATGTCTTTTGGGATTATGTCAGGATTGACTGTAAATTACAGTAAATTACAGCACTAACAGTTAATTTACAAAACTTGCATTAAAAACATATTTACTATAACAATTTTGTATAACACAATCTCTTAACTATTACACTATAAAACAATACAGACACCATATTGGAATAGGTAATATGGATATCATTAAAGTATATTGATAATTGTTATTTTTTTCTGTTTTTTTAACTGATAATTTGTAAGCAGAGAGAAATTCTCAAAATGAAAACAAAATAAATGAAATTATATTGAAAAATTCAGCTTCAGTTCCATGATCAGAGCATTACTTATTAAACAAGCAATATGCAACATTTATATATATGCAAATCTTTCCAGGAAGCAACTTCTCATGAGCCCCAAAATGGATCCACCTGTTCTTTTATACACTAAAGGACATGATCGTATCTTCTATATCCTCCTCCACATGCAATTTCTTCATTTTGAGAACTCACTGAATTATCCTCCACACAGAAGTCATAACTAATATTTCCTCACATATAAATATCTCCGACACAGAACAAAGCTAATGGGCTCCACATTAGACACTTTACTATCCTACGTTTCATCTTACTCCACTCTCTCCAACTGATTTAATGGACTACATAAAATGCTCCCATCTTATTATTGAGCTCTTTCCCAGCGCTTCCCCATGACCTCGCCACCTCTGCTGATCTCTGCCCTCACAAGCGAGGCACCGGTGCCTTGAGTCTGACACCTCTATTAAACATTACAGGTAAATTTAATCAGGAGCGACCCGGCCCGACCATGCAGCGCCGTGGCCAGGTCCTTTTCAAGTTTAAAACGGCCCTCGAGACACTATTGGCATTTATTAGTGGCACTTCTGTGTGAGGTAATCATACACAGGTGTTCAATATAACATAAGGAGCCCCCGAGGATGCAGCACAGGGTCCGTCACAGTTACAGTGCGGCGCAAAACAACAAAGAAAGTCCAAAAAGTGCAATCTTGTTAAAAACTGGCCCTGTTCATGAATTAGTAAAAAAGTGGAGGTTTAAAGACAGAAGCCAAAGATCAGAATTTCAGAATGTAGTAACAATGCAAAATACCGTGAATTTTTACTAATAACTGAAAAATATGACCAAATGATGATGGCTAAAATTATGAACAAAATAATCCCAACAGACTCTGGAATCAAAGAAATATATAATACAATATTGAAATAAGTTAATGATAAAAAAAAAAAAAAAATGGCCCCATCTACCAATTACTTTTTAAATCTACTTTTCAATTGTTTTAGATGTTTTTTTCTTAAACTAAAGTATACAAACATACAGTATGAACATGTCTTATTATTACTTTATTAAATTATTAGCTTTTTTGAAAGAACACTTCCTTCTTTCTATAAAAAAAATGTGTGCAGAAGAAAATAAATAGCAATATTGAAATAAGTTAATAAAAAAAAAAAAGATAATAATTCTGGCTCCATCTACCAATGGGCTATATGCACGGGGAGGCGTGACGTCATTTCCTGTTAACAAAATACAGCCCGTTCACTTCCTGCCTATGCTATCCTATGGCTTTTAGGTGGGTTTTAGTGACGTATTTTAGTAATTAGATTGATACAGTCAGCTGTGAGACTGACCCAAAAGTGTCGCTGTGCTTTCTCTCTGAGGTAGAGCTTTGACTGTGGCCACTCAGAGCGATTTATAAACTTTATAAAAACACAATGACAGCACAATCAAAGAGCACTGCTGTGTCCCAAAAATGCCCAGTATCCTCACAGTTTAATTCCCGTTTGAGCATTATTTGGGAAACTCATGTAAACCACTGCTGAACTCCAGTGAAACTCAAGCCATTTCCCGCGAACAGGAAGTGAAGTGGGGTACTAGCTAAAACACGGAAGTGGAGCGTGCATAGAGCCCATAGGATGACTTTTTAAATCTACTTTTAGATGATTTTCTTAAATTAAGTATACAAACATACAGTGAGCATGCCATAATATTACTTTAACAAATTATTGTCTTTTTTGTATATTTTTTCTGTACTATTTTTCTTTGTGCAGTGGGGAAAATATGTATATATTTTTCAAATGTTGCCCAAAAGCTTGCGACCCACTTAAAATGATCCCGCGACCCACCAGTTGAGAACCACTGTGTATTTTTGATATTGGTTAAAAATACATAACACTTATCATCCACAACATACATCTACATTAACAATAATGTCTCGTGCTGGATCTGGATAAGCACAGCTAAATTATGCCTGACCTTTCCAGTGTCCTTTGGTGTTTGCAGTGTAAATACAAGGCGTGAATTAAATTATAGCCATTCTTTTATATAACTGATCATGTTAACACAAGGCAGCGTTCACACAAAGGGCAACTTCATGACCCTTTTCCTTTATCATTTTAATCCCAGCGTAAGGGATAAAACACATCAATCTTGAAAATCTACATATAAAAAATTTTTACTGAATAAGGCTACATTAACCCGGCCAACAGAGGGGTATTGTAATTGTGTGTGTGTGTGTGTGTGTGTGTGTGTGTGTGCATTTGACCATAGGCAGGATTGGGCAAAAACTACAGCACGGATTGATCTGAAAGTTCATGTGTAGATAGGATGTGCTGGCATTAAGACCCCATTATAATGTTGATATGATCGGTGCTGTTGGCGGAGTATGCGCTCTCCGAGTACATGTTCTTGTATACTTTATGATTCTTGCGTTTCCAAACCATTTTGCTGCATGTGTCAATAATGACGCTATTGTTTCCTGCCTCCAAATGTTTGTACACCTCTCCTCTTTTCTATCACAATTTGTGTATACATTTTGTACGAAGGACAAAGGCATCAGTCAGAGAGTCTTCCGCTGCTGAGCAAAAATGGTATCTCTCAATGTCAAGTCTGTCTTGGGGTGAAATACTAATTTTAACAGCATGGACGGAAGCTGCGCTCTTCTAAATCACTCCATAAAGTCTTTTGCAGGCAGCTGGGAGCCGTCTATTGAAGACTTTAAACAGACATAACCGTCCTTCTTTAAATCCAAAGAAAAGCAGGGGCTGCATTGTTGAACCACCCATATGTTTTATCTACCAAACCACATATTGCCCATGCATAATAGTGGATCTGCTAAGTCGACAAAGGGATAAAGCTATTGCCGATTCTTATTTAAAGTCTTTGAGCTTTAAATGACACATGGACAAAGTGAGTGACAAGCCCTACACAGCAGCCGACAGAGAGGCCTTTCTTAGACTGAGCATCCTGATAAAAGCTACAGCTCAAATCACTTCACTGTCACTCAGGGTTTCACAGCCCCGACACCAGCACAGCTATGTCAGAGGGAGTGTTTTGCACTTGCTCATGTGTAAAAACCACTAAAAAGGATCGACGAGGTCACAGCATATGGCAATAAACTTGCAGCACACAAAATATGCAGCACACAAAATATGCAGAAAGGGAAAGGTCAATTTGCATTCACATGGCTAATTTTGTCCTCTTTAGATAGGGGGAGGCTTTGTATGCGAACAGGAGTCATGGTAAACAGAAATACAGATTAACATAACAAGACAATCAGGGAAGTCATGGGAGTGTGAAGGTGAGATGGAGTCCTATTAGGAGACAACAAATAAGCAGCACACGCCACACTCGTCCCCATAAACTTCAATGGAGCCAGTCAATTTACATTTTACAGGGCAATTACAGTCTCTGCATTTAATTGACTGAAAATGTTCAGCTATGGGTGTGGGCAGGGGCACTATAGCAATGAGTGTAAGGTCAGGATAGCAATGAGCTGTGTATTTCACCTCTAATTATATACTATAGGGCTATGTTTCTGCTTGCACTTTTAATGGAACTAATTTCCTCAGACAGCAGCGCTTGACTGATTGTTTTGCAAGTGACGCCAAGCAGCAGAAAGTTAACTGTAAATGGAAAAGGAAAGTACAACACTAGACTGACCCACCTCTGCGAACTGCAACCTGCTGAACGTGCTGCTGGGGGGGAGCGTGAGCTTGAAGTTTTTCTTAGGAGCCACCCAGGTCTCCATGGTTTCCAGTTTGCTAGTTGCCAGGTTTGTGGCGTGGTGTCGGACCAGGTAGCCCTGAAACTGGTCCTCCTGGAAGTAGAGATGCACCGATACGGGATGCCCCATGGGGAAGTACCTGGCAACACACACAAGAGCGTGACAGAGGAGAAAAAGTACAAGTCATTAGGAAAGCTGATCCATGTTGACCTCCCCGCGGTGCTGCTCTGAGGGCCCAGCGGTGTAAGAGCAGCCGTATCTTGATTCATCAGGATAGCCTTGCTCATTCTAATGCACCTAATGCTAATTCATGCTCCAAGTGAAGGTTACTGTGGCTCGCGACACACTGGACATTAATTCACTGACCTTTTGCAGAATTCCAATTGGTCAAAGATATAATGGACCGTGTTGGCGAAACTGATGAGACATTTGTTATGTACAGTAGGCTGCTCTTTATAACAGGCTGAAAAAAGTTTGGTGACTTAATCTCATCCGTCTTATTTCTTGGTACAATTTAGAAATATGTCAAGTATTCCAGAATGCCATGTGCTAACGCATCATAGTTATCAAAATACATTTTAGATTTTTATCTCAAAGCCCTGCCTCTCTTTCTTAGAACATATCGCATGTTTTAAAGATCACCACAGTTTTTAAATGCTCCTGTTGAAAGGCAGTATTTTTCCACTACATGTTTTGGTTATCTCACCACAGGGGTCGATCCTGGGACCTCTTCTGTTCAATCTCTACATGCTGCCGTTAGGTCAGTTAATACGCAGAAACGAAGTTTCCTATCATAACTATGCAGACGACACTCAGATCTATGTCTCACTGACTGCAGGAGAACATGGACCAGTGGACTCACTCCTTCACTGTATCCAACAGATCAGTGAGTGGATGCAAAACAACTTCCTTCAGCTAAACACAGACAAAACTGAAATGATTGTCTTTGGTCCCCAGAAACAAAGAGAGAGCGTCATCTGTCACCTACAGTCTCTCTCCCTAAAACCTTCAAACAAGGTCAGAAATCTAGGGGTAATACTGGACTCAGACTTAAATTTTAATAGCCACATCAAATCAGTAACATCAGCAGCTTTTTACCATCTAAAAAACATTGCCAGGATCAAAAACATAGTGTCTAAAGCAGACTTGGAGATTCTTATCCATGCATTTGTCTCCAGTAGGTTAGACTACTGCAATGGCCTGCTCACAGGTCTGTCCAAACAGGCTGTAAAACAGCTGCAGTACATTCAAAATGCAGCAGCTCGAGTCCTGACAAGAACCAGGAAGTACGACCACATTAGTCCAGTCCTCAGGTCTCTGCACTGGCTTCCTGTGGCTCAGAGAATAGACTTTAAAACAGCTCTGCTTGTGTACAAGTCTCTCCATGGCCTCGCACCAAAATATATTAGTGACATGTTAGTCCCATATGAACCAGCCCGGACTCTGAGGAGCACAGGGACTGGACTCCTGTTAGTGCCCAGAGTCAGAACTAAACATGGGGAGGCTGCTTTTCAGATTCATGCTGCTAAAATCTGGAACAGTCTTCCTGGAGATGTGAGACAGGCCTCCTCTCTGACAATGTTTAAAGCCAGGTTAAAGACAGTTCTGTTTAGCTGTGCATACAACTGAGGGATTTTATATTTGTATCTTTCTTTTTAATGTTCTGTGATTATTTATGATTTTAATGCTTTCTTGTTTTGTTCAGCACTTTGAATTGCCTTGTGTATGAATTGTGCTATATAAATAAACTTGCCTTGCCGTTATCTCAAGGTTGAAACTACTGGCACGTTGGCAGCTGCTGATTGCACTGTCTATGATTCTTCCTGGATAATATCACTTGCTTTCTGTAACATCTTTGTTCGTGCCTGTCCCTACCATCAACAATAAAACAGGTCTTCTGTTTGAATTTAAGACACGATCCCAGACGATGTCATACTACTTACTTCACTTACAAAAGCGGAACACATGAATTAAAAAGGCTTCCTTGACACTAAGCTTGTCCTGCCGTATATAAAGGTTAAGGTCAAAGTGCAATTTATTGACCAATCCTTTAAAGCCACACAGGCCTCTATCAGGATCAGTGGTACTGCACCTAAGGGCCCATCTCCAGATGTTGATGCTCAGCCAGCTTTTTACCTTTTGAGATCCAGGACCTTCTTGCAGAAAAGCAAGAGCCACCTTGCCGTTCCTTAATATGCACTACTCTACATTTTTGCACATGTTAAAGCAAAGTAACAAATGAAGGTTACGTTACTTTTGCACTTTTGAACCTCTTCAATCTGTAAACGAGAAGCATCCTCTGTCTTAATTACCGCTTTAAATTGGAGCAGTGACCTGAACATGGACTGGAGCCGTGTGGAACGGATGGATAAATTTGATAAATTGCGGCAGACACACAAGCATCATCAAGGAACAGAAAACGGGTGCTTCAGACTAGTCAAAGCATCAACAGTTTTTGCAGAAGCAAGGTCGTTATTAATAGTGCAGCATTGTATGTCAAGTCAAGCGAAGGATTTCCATTCTGAACTTTCCCTTGAGCTTCACAAATGATTTTCACAAAATAATGTAAAATACTGTTGCTACAACTTCTGTAACTCTTTACGAAAAGTTTCCAGAATCAGAGAGCATGGCCTGAAGCAGTAACTCTCCTTTCCTCTCCTCTCCCCCTGGATCTCTCCCTGTGATCTGTCTCTACACAGACCCCCCCTGCTCTCTGGTGCCTATGGCCACATTAGTATTCCTCCAAAGGCACAGGAGTCAACTCGGCCCGGTAAACGCTACCCTGACAAGCAGAACAGCAAATATTTACACCCACAAGGATAGCTGTGAGCCGCCCGTCTCCTGCCCTATTTGGCGGGGCATGCATTTCCTCTCTTTTGACAACCATTCTTTCTATTTCGGTAGCGAGGCCAAGATATCTACTGAGTATTGTTGTTTACCAAAGAATAGAAACACCATATGTTACGGCTCAGCTATCCAAAAAGGTTAAAGCGTTATGATGTAATTGGCCGGCTGTTTCTTAAAACAAAAATAACAGTGTTTGCATTATTTGTAATGTTTTTGTTTGGAAAATGCAAAATACAAAATGAGTATTGGTCTACACATTAAAGCTGGGGCACCTCTCTTTCAAGCCTCAAACACATATGGCCTATTACACATATGTCTTAATATTTGATTTTAATTGTGTTTTTAACGGTGATTTTGGTGTTTGTTTTATGTGATGATTTGTGTCTTGGGTAGTGCGGAATGTGAAGTGCTTTGTGTTACCCTGTGTAGAAAAAGATTGATTAATTTATTGATCATTGGAAGTATGACCAGTCCATCAGCTCTGAGCCCAATGCATCAAATTGTGACAGGCAGAGCAAAGTATGCAAATGATAAAAGGTTTTCTGATAAGATGAAGACAGCATGTTGGTTCAGACAAAATATTTATAAACTACAACAAAAAGTTAGGTATCCCAGCTTTGAACAAGACTGTTTAAATATATAGTAGGCAATAGCTTGGATAGAAGTCATTGCTACTCAAATCTGGCCTTACCCACAGATTTTACTCCAGACCCAGAGAGGAGGTGGGAGTTGAACACTGAATGTATTCTGCACACAAGCCCTATTCAACCAGTCAAGTCACAGTGGACCCCCAGAAAAGCCACATCGAGGCCTGGCCCCTCGTCCCAGTCTCACTCTATCCATCTGCAGCCAACACATCTATATTCTACTCCATCGCTGAACAAGAGCCCAGACACACCATACCGCCACCAAATTGTAACAAAAAAAAAAAAGTTTGTTTGTTCTTTTTAACTCGGTTTTGGCAAATCAATAAAGCAGGGGCCTGTGTAGTCATGCCACACATATTGCGCATTTAATTATTAGGCTCATAAAGCAGTGAGTGGCTGAATGAAGTCACAGCACAGCACTTTTGAGCCTTTATTTTCCCTGGTAGCACAACCAACCTATTGTCTCCTACTTGCAGAGTTGTTTCTTTTCAACCTCATCCACTGAATTTTGTGGACAGTTTTTCGTCATTTAAATTTGGTTTCAGGCGCCTTGGGCATTGTTTAAACTGAAAGAATGATGCCGTGACAAAAACATTGTATTGTAATGTTGTGAAGAAGAGCGATAAATAAACAATGCTGTTTTCACGTTTCCAAGCAGATGTAGAATTAATAAATAATAACACCAACTCCATTCAACGATTCTTAGCACAGCCAGTTGTTCAAAAGGAATTATTATGCCAATTTATTTCCCATGCGGCAGTCGGCCCACATGTCCACGAACAGCCAAACCTAACCCTTTAAAGGAAGATTCCCTTAATTGGGGTTCCTCTTGATAGTGACGTTCATCACTGTCTGGGAGGAAGTCATATTTTTACTTAAATACTGCAGATTTGGGTGCGGCCATGACTGCCATTCTCTGCCAGTATTAAACATTTCTACAAAAATAAAAAGTGGTCTGAAGTGTTTCAAAGGGAATGCTTCAACTGTCTCAAATGAATATAATGTGTGGTCAATTATTCAACAAAAAGCACAGGCTCCCAGAATACGTTCGATTTTACCATTACAAGAAGCAAACCACCACTGTGCCTTTCTAACAATTGAGCAAATTGAATCAATAAACATTTTCAAAAAAAGGAAAACGCTATTGACATACAAAATAATACGGAATAGAAGAAAAAAATGTCCCAGTGTGTCTTGTTGCCCGGCCTATCTTTTTTCTTTTATAACACACAAAAGGTCGCACACTAATAGTAGCCTTGTTTTAAAGTATGCATGAAGTCATTTTCGCTGGGTCAAAGTGACAGAGAGCCATATCTTCTTTCACAATAAATAGAGCGACTCCACACTCCCTTTTGCCAAATGGAGAGCGCTATTGTGATGCATTTACTTTGACATATGATGATCACGTTACATAGGAGCTAAGCATTATTATCAGAGCATGTCGGCTTCTCGCGGTTACAAAGGCGTGGTCCTCGTGATATCATATGCCTGCATGTAGAACAGGTGTGCACACAGACTGAATTTTAAAAAACTCAAAAACCTGCAGCTGTGGTCCTGGGGGTTCCCTTGCAGAGACGAAGCAGCTCTGGACAGGCCCATTCTGGAGAAGGAGTGGTAGTAGGTGAGCTGGGCGTCCGACAGACTGGCCGCTCCGTCGGGCTCGTCGTAAATGTTTTCCCAGTAGGAGTTCAGCGCCGGAGTCCCGTGGGGGAGAGGGCCAAACAAGAACGTGTCCAACTGCTTCACAATCTCCTGGTTCACGCTGGCCTCGAACTTACGCGCGAAGAAGGTGGGACGAACGGTTTGCTGCAAAACAGGCACATCAAATCAATGCATTTTGGACTTAGCTATACATAACAATAAAAATAGTCATTGGGCATTGAAGATGAGCCAAATAACCAATGCTCGTAAGAATGAACTGTTTTAATGTAAGATAAAGATCAGTAAAACAATAAAGCATTTAACTACAAAAGGACAATAAAATAATAATATTAAAATAATTGCTTTCAAACCCTGTTTTTATCACACTAAAATAATTAAAAAGAAGAAAACAGATGAAACTCTCCCATTGACGGACTGCCTCAACAACTGTGCATCCATTTTCTGATTGAATGCGCTTATGGCAGTGGACATATATTGGTTGCAGCATTTTTCTATATTCTTATTCTTATTTCTATACAATAAAGTCTGCAAGGCAAGAGTCAAAAAATAAAATCAATGAAAAAGTTTTGCAGCTACTACAGTACAGTTGGAGAATCTTATAGTGTACCATCTACCATCTACAGTGATATATAATCCCTCTCTTAATCATCCTTCTGCTAAAGGACTATGTGAAAACCAGATAGTTGCAACCCAATTATTCATCTCATCTGCAAACCAAATTAAACAGTGCTTTAGTCTGTCTCGATCTTCTCTCCGCAAAGGTTCAAAGGGAAATTGGGATATTAAGCCCCATTAATACTAGGGTCTGGCAAGCACGGGCTGTCTGTTGGAAGAGGCCGTTTTTGTTCAAGGTTTTGGACTTTGCTGATGCCACAGACTGCGAGTGCTGATGCCAGAACCCCGTGGTAATGTGTTGGCACCGGCCAGAGCCAGACTGCAGCCAGACAGCGGGCACACTCGCCTGGGCAAGAAGCCGCCAGGTCAGCCCAGCGCCTTTCACTGTGGTGTGAAGGGCGAGACCACGACTGTCCTCAAGGTTTTAGGATCCAACTTTTAAGAAGGATTTATCAAGTCAATTCAGCCTGACTTTTCAATAATGGATGTATTGACTTTTGTTTTCTGAAAATCCCACATTGGAATAAATATGATCCCGAGGTACTCCGAGGAGTGGGGCTTGGTGTACTGATCTGTATTTTGGACCACGAGTCAGAATAAAGTTTGATGATTGTGATTATATTTCAATTGGAATCTTTTACTACTTTCCTCAAATACTGCTGCACTATTACAGACCTAATACAGCAGATAAAGTCCCTGTTTGCCCTTCAGTAAATGAGTATGTTTACAAAGCACAAGAATATGGAGCTAAAACCTGTCTCTATTCAGCATTGCTCCCAAACTGGTCTAGCCGCTCTTGTCTCAGTGAACATGCGGAGAACTGATCAGATCCAGCCTTGCGATGCTTTCAACAGCATCTCGCTACTTTGCCTTAGCACCTAAACCCTGGCATAGTAATTGTAAATAAAATTGCTATAATTCATTCTATATCATTTTATTTGTGCATGAATGAGTATCAATGCAGTAAATAAACCAGATTGCTGCTACACACTCATTCATCTTGAACTATTGTACATGCTTTTTGTGGTATACAACCAGAGCACCCGGAGGAAACCTATGCAGACACGGGTAAAACATGCAAACTCCACACAGAAAGGCCCCGTCTTGAGGTGACATTTTCAACTTTTCCAGGACATTCCAGTTGTGAAGCACATGTGATCAGTGTCACATAAAAGCAGACCTTTGGCAAATGTATTCACAAATCAAGCTCAAGTCAGTTCCGCAGCACAATTAAGTAGCCATATGCATCCAAACACTTCGATGCAAGCATGCTGTTTTTTCTGTGATTTTAAGTGCATCTGCTGGCTCTGTCTCAGTAGGATCTGATTTAGGTGGTTACATGCCAGAGTAAACAGAGTAGAAATGATTTACATGCATCTTGATCAATGAAATCACTGCATCAAGTGGCTCCAATTTGTTTACATTTCTTGAAAGAAGAAAAAAAAATATAATAGTCTTAAGTATCTTCAGCCTGCATGAGTAAAAAAGTGTTATTAGATAAATACACTGAAATCAAGTGAACTACACAAGTCTGTATTTTTGCACTGATTAAAATGGATATTGTGTGTTATCTGGTTTTCATTAGTGCTTCATAAACATACTGACCGTTGGGAGAGATTTTCCCGCTTTATCTGTACCAACCAACTAAATGCAAGACAACAAGTCACCTGAAAGCGGTGGAAGTCGGCGGGTTTGAAGTCGTTGGGGGAGCAGCCGCACCAGTCCACGATGTGCTTGTACTGACATTTACAGCCCAGTTTGCGGTTCCAGTTTGTGATGCGCAGGTTGTTGTCCACCATGCTCTCACAGTAAGCGCTATTCTCCAGCACAGTGTGGAAGAATGACTGTAACAGAGAAAAAACACACAAAGGAGGGGAAAAAAGCTGTGAGAAGCGGCAAAATCGGAAAATTGCAAAGCCTTTTTATAGGTTTTGCCCGACATCCAATTCAGAAGAGGAAATAGAGTAGCGGCACAGAAAGGCTCATGATAAACATCCCATTCGCCCCAATTCAATTCTCCTCCAATCCTTGTATTTGGCTGAAAAGGAAGGATTTACACCATGCTTTCACTTTAGGGCTTTGTTTGCCTCTTTTCGTTTTCAAGATACACAGAACTGGCACAGGCAGAGAAATAAGGAACACTATTTTTGGGACACTGGAATATGTGTCAGGGGTGTATAAAAAGTTTATTCAATTCAACTAAATTGGTAAAACAACTGCGTGCCATTCTAACCACAGACACAGGCTCCAAACGCGTTGTCTCATCCATTCCCAAACAGGAAGTTGACAGGTCTTGAATACATTTTTGTCATCACGAACTGACACACGACCACATTATCATAGTCTTTAGTGCACCACAATATCATAGCAACATTGAACATTACCTTTGAGAAAGCTCCATACATTCTAACCTAAATAAAATGTAGTTTTTGTTAAAGCATTTTTCTTTCTTTTTGTTCTTGTTTCAGTTTTGTCTGTTTTAAGGAACTCCCATGGATTAGAATTAGATTTCTTACAATAACTACTCATCGTTCAGGAATTGAGGCTTGATACAATATATTTTGGGGCTCAGTATTTATCGTCAAGCATTTTATTGCTTACTTCAATGCAACTTAGTTTTTTTTAGACATAATTCACAAATGCAGTCAGTTCTTACCGATGGGAATTTTGAAGAACTTGTCGATTCCCCAACCACGGATTAGAGAATCAAACATTTAGAACACACAAAATGCTAATAATAAAGCAAACACATAAGAGTCATTGGTCCAGGGAGGTCCTCGTTCTGCTGTCAGCTTTAATTCTAATCTTTAAATGGAGAGTTTTGAGAAAATTCCAAAACAACTCTATGTGAAAGAAATGTAGAAAAAAAAAGTCCAAATATTTCCCCATGTTTTATTATTTATAGTGATTATATTCACAATCTCACACATTTTCTTCTGTAATTTGAAAGTGGTTTTTACAGGTCAACATCATGCATGGGTATCTTTGAATATTGTCCCACACACTTTTATGAGAAAGTTAAAATATCTACTGACAGAAGACTTGTTTGACAGTTTTCATGTTTCATGGAGATTGGCCCAGGCATTACAGAGAAATTAGCTCTAAACTAATACTAGAACAAGTTTCAGCTGCCTTGTAATTCAATTTTAAACGATTGGGAATGTTTGTGATGTCACATAGATGCTACCCATTACTGACCTTTTACTGAGAGTTTTGTTAAATTATCATGACAGACCTCGTTTCATTTTGTAACTTTGCCTGCGTACCTCAGCAGGCAGGAGCGTGTAGGCATAGAAGCGTTTCATGTTGGTGACCAGATCGTCCTGAGAGTTGATGACGTATTCCACAAACATACGATTGAGCAGGAACCAGTCCGAGCCTCCGTCCACCGAGATGCCTTCTGGGATCTTCCGGTCGCTCAGTCTCCACATGTGGGTGTCACATTCATAAAACAGCCGGTCCAATCCCTGCTTACGGATGAATCTGCAAGAAAATAAAAGTGTTGGAGAGACAGTTTTTGCCAGAAGCCAGTGATGCGGCCAATGTCTCTGTGTTGTATTTATGTATTTTTAATGTGGTGGAGTTGGTTTGCAGTCAGAGTGTACAGGTCTCTCCAAGTACATCCGAGACATGTTAGTGCTATGTAAGTAAGTAAGTCATCTTTATTAATATAGCGCCTTTCACAGACCAGATTCACAAAGTGCTTTACAATTGTGGGCAATTCTCCACTCCACAGAGATGGGAGGAAGGTCGCCAGTACAGGCGGCGCCTGCCAGACCTATTGTGTATGTTTATAGTGGTAGGGGAAACCGGAGCACCCGGAGGAAACCTAAGCAGACACAGGGAGAACATACAAACTCCATTCAGAAAGGCCCTGTTCCGATCGGGATTCAAACCCAAGACCTTCTTGCTGACAAGCGAGAGGGTTCACTGAGTCGCCATGTGAACCAACTCGGACTCTGAGGAGCACAGGGACTGGCCTCTGGCTGGTGCCCAGAGTCAGAACTAAACATGGGGGCGTTTCAGATTCATGCAGCTAAAATCTGGAGTAGTCTTCCTGAAAATGTGAGACAGGCCTCTTCATTGACAATGTTCATATCCAGATTAACAACAACTCACCTTCTCTCTTTTTAATGTACAGCAATAATTAATTATTTGAATTCCAGCTTCTATCTTGTTTTGTTCAGCACTTTGAGTTGCCGAGTGTAGGAACCATGCTTTACAAATAAACTTGCCCTGAACATTATCTTATTATCTTATGCCTATTACCCATCACGTTTTAGTCGCTATAGGATGCACGTCGACTGTGGTGACTGAGTTTCAACATGGAGGCTAATAGTAAGGTAAGCTAACGTGAGCTAATGTTAACCTCCCAGTTCATTGTGTTTTGTTTCGCTTTGACCACATTAATATATTATGTGACTCATTATAAAAGCCAACATTGCGTTAAAACACTCTTCATTAAATCATGTTGTAGATATAACACTTTTGTTTAGCTCCATTAGCTGTAAAAAATACATATTATTTTCAAATGAGAAATGTGCAATTCCAGTATTAAAAATATTAGGGGTTTTGGTCCAGGTCTGGATACAACAGAGAGTTATAATAAAAACCAGTCCGTGTTTTATAATCTCATCGGCCACCACCCATGTCCTGTTATTGTGTTACTGAATGAACTACTGTAATTTCAAACGGCTTTGTACAGCATCAAGAACCTAAATAATGCATAAACCGTTTCCATGGAGACAGCCAGACAACATGCATTATAGATAACAGGCGAGGTGACGGGACACATGGGGCAGATGACTTTGGGACTTCCATAATCAAACAAACACAAGGGGTAAACAGAGGATTATAACAAAGTATGTGTAAATGAAAACATCTATCAGATTAATTTGGATTATGGAGGCTGCTCAAAATGTTATGAGATCAATGGGCTGATGGTGAGTTTTCTATTATAAGTTTGGGAAAAGTAAAGTGACGGGGGAGAAGTGTGGGTCATGGAGTGTTTGTGTGTGTACGTGTGTGTGCTTTGTGTTGTATTGTATGAGTGAGAGGGGGCAAATAAGTGTATCCTTCGTGCAACTCCTCTTCAAACTATCTGTTTTTTTGTATCCTATAGAAACATTTGAAATAAATACATTGATTGAAACTTGGGGTTCTCATATTGTAAATGTACAGTATGTTCATGTGTAGTGTTTCTCATAAGTACAATGTAGTGATATTGTAAGGCCCACATCTGAACAACTACGGAGTAAAAGTGTTGATGGATAACTTTGCATCTGCCCTAAGACCTCAGCCTGCGCAGCGCGTGCAGCCGTCGAAAGGGAGAAAGAAGAAGCAAAGGGCACAGACATCACGACCATCTCCACCGACTCCCGAGGTCTCTGCACCCCCACCGCCTCAAAAGAACTCCACACCTCCACGATTCAAGAAGAACTCAACACTTCCAAGGTTCCAAAAGAACTCAACACCTCCACGGCTCCGAAAGAGCTCAACGCCTCCACCACCAGCATCATCAGCAGCTGCCACATCTTCATCAGCGCCATCAGCATATACAGCACCACCAGCAGCAGTGGATACAGCCGCAGCAGTGGCTGCTCCATCATCTTCAGCAGCAGCAGTGGCTGCTCCATCATCTTCAGCAGCAGCAGTGGATACAGCAGCAGCAGTGGCTGCTCCATCATCTTCAGCAGCAGCAGTGGATACAGCAGCAGCAGTGGCTGCTCCATCATCTTCAGCAGCAGCAGTGGATACAGCAGCAGCAGTGGCTGCTCCATCATCTTCAGCAGCACCTTCCCCACCTACAGCTCCCGTGAAGCTTCCCCCATTACTCCAGGCTACAGTCAGGCCTGTACTGGGGGTTCCTCAACCACCTCTGTCTCCACCAAAGACTCCCTCATCACCTTCCATGGACCCGGCTTGGGTCCCCCCCGCTACATCCACTCCATCTAGGGAAAATGAGGACGACCTTTCCCTTTGTTTTCTATCCCCGCCTTCACTACTGGAATTACCGGAACACTCTGCAGGCATGATAAGATCGGCGATGAAGACTATTCCTCTCACACCCACTGTAGCCAGATCAAGAGTCCTATCTAATAGAGCCCTGCACTTGAGCCCTTGGCCCGAGGGCCCCGACGGCCCGACAGCCCGAGGGCCGGGCTTCGGGCCGATGACCGCATAATGACCTCGGACACGGGCCGGGCTCGGGCTCTTCATTTTCAGAGCGGCAGAATAGATTTAGTGAATGGTTTGAAATTATATTTCTCTCATCCTTGATTGTGGAGCGGGGGGTGGGGGGGGGGGAAGAGGGGTGGGAGGGAGGGCAGGGATTTCAGCTTCCTGATGGCCTTGTGAATGAAACTGTTTTTAAGTCGACTGGAACTATACCGTAAATTCTGCAGTCTCCTCCCTGAAGGCATCACCCTGAAGAGTCTGTGTGATGGGTGCCTAGGGTCCCTGGTGATTCTGACGGCTTTGCGGGTGAGACGGGTGGAGTACATGTCCTTAATGGTGGGGAGAGGGGCTCCACAGATCTTCAGCCACGGGTTAAGCGTTAATGGTGCGTGGACTCTGATATGTCATGGGAGGTAGATCGCGTTCGACCGGTAGATTACAATTGACGTAATGAGCAACCCTGGCTCAGTGACCCCGCCCCCTGGGACTACAGATGAAAATGACCCTTTGGCTACAATCTGACGTGCCGACTAATATGCCCAAACTTATATTTTCATTGATATGTACTGTCCCAGTCAGAGAAATAAAAAATAAAAAAAGATATACATTGATATCATCTTGCCAAAATATGTATTATTTCCTAAGAAAATACAATTAAAGTTGCGGACATCACCTTCAAATATAAATAGTTCCTTGAGTTGTATCTTGTCAGCGTCTGCAGAAGCATTTCGACTCATGCACAGTTGGTAATGACAGAGCAGCGGGACAGTAACAGCAGTGTGGGAAGTTCTGGCTCTCACCTCTCCCTACAACCCCATCACCAAGGTTAATTAATAACGCCACAGATGGGAGCTAATTGTATTATGATTCAGTGACCACAACACACTGGCAGCACCGCGCCCCGAGAGACGAGAGCCAGGCACTCCGAAAGGCGGGTGCTTTGGAGGGCAAATGAGGAGTGGCTCACCTGGCGTTATCTCTGCCATGGGACTTGATGAAGTTCATCTCTCTGTATTTGGACAGGAAGGCCACCAGCTGGTTATTGGTCCTGGAATGGTACAAAAGACTGAGTCAGGCTGGGAAACATATGGTGGAGCTGAGCTGGGAGAGAAATATTGATTTTGCTGTAACATGCAGCACAGGTGTAGTGCCAGAAAACAGGGATCAAACCAGCTTTGCCTCTGAACCAGCTGTGAAGTGAACAAAGAGATGTGCTAATCATTTCACTGCATATGAGCAATTAGCCACAACCACAATGTATTTTACTGTTTGAGAGTGAGATTGAAGGAGGTTTTCATGACCACTTTCAGAATCACCTACACTGCGAAAAAATATAACATACGCACAGCTATAGTCACTTTTGTATTTAATTGTACATAATAAATCTTGCACAAAAGATCTGTTCACTTTTTAACATGTTTGAATGCTTCCTGTTTGCACAACCTGAGTGTAAATTTCTCCAAAGTCTATTTTATCTTATCTTGGTTTTTTTTTACAACAGTAGCTCAGTTGGTAGAGCATTGGCCTTCAGGCCTGAAGGTCGTGGGTTCAATTCCCACCTCTACACCTTCTCCACCGACTCCCACTGATGACTGCTGTCGTTGTGTCCTTGGGGAAGACACTTAACCCCACTTTGCCCAAAGCCCCCACTGAAAGATCAATGCTCACACTCAGAGAGCAGCCGTCCTCCTGTGGACTCACCACCTGCAGAGGGTCAGTGAGGGGCTGGAGCTATGAGACTTGGGTGGCATCTCTGATTGCCACCCCCCTGACCCAGAAATGGATTAAAGGGTAGAAAATGGATGAATGGATGGATGGTTTTTTTTTTTATCATAATTTCCGTACATTCTGTCTGACTTAAAACTTGATTTGCCAATGGGAAAAGCCATTTAGTCTGATTTCAAGAACTGTTTTTTCTCATTGGGACACATTTCTAGAATATTTTCCTTTTGTAGTCAAATTGTGCTCAAATTACGATACATTTGACCAAATTTGAGAAAGGTTTAGCTTATTATTCATCACTTTTTGCAGTGTACACCATATGTACTATTTCTATTTCAATCATTGACACACTTAAAGTTGTGTCAATGATTGTACACAGCAATAAAATACAATTCTACACATTGAGCTCAACTGGAAAACATAAGTAAAAATTATGCTTTACAAGTTTATAGTGAAGCATAATTTTTAAGACCAGAGTTTTCTCATCTGACAGTTGCAATTGCCAGTTACGTCTTCCTCAGAGTGGTCATGTGATGTTCCTTTGACATGTCTTGCCTTGTCACCTTTTTACACAGTTTTACGCAGAAAGACAGCATCAAAAACTGTATAAAATAACTGACAAGACACGTCACAGGAACATCACATGACAGCGCACCAGCAGTCAAAACTGTCAGCTACGAAAAAACCCCTCTGGTCCTAAAATAATGAACTACAGAAGCTATCAGAAGACCTAATGCACCTCGCTGGACTATGTACAATCATAATAATAATAATCATAATAATAATAATAATGCATCGGTTTTATAAAGCGCTTTTTTGGACACTCAAAGACGCTTCACATGTCATTATTCATTCACTCCAAACACGGTGGTGATGAACTACTACTGTAGCCAAAGCTGCCCTGGGGCACACTGACAGAAGCGAGGCAACCAGTTTGTTCCATCGCCCCCTCCGACCACCACCAACCATTCACACAAACACCAGACTCATTCTAGGCAATGGGGGTGAAGTGTCTTGCCTAAGGACACAACAGCAGTTTGGCACTTTACAGCCGCAGCCGCCCCACTGTTGCACCTGTTGTTCCCAGAGGTTAAGTGTCTTGCCAAGGACACAACGACAGCAGACATCAGCGGGAGTCGGTAGAGAAAGTCTTGTGGTGGGTGGCTCAAACCCACAACCTTCTGACGCAAAATAATACAACCCTTTCATTGAGAACTCATCCATCAACACAATCTAATGCCAGTCACTATTTTGTACAACTTTACTAATGGCTTTTCTGTTTCAAATTGAAAAAGAAAAGACAAAAAACATATGTTGGAGCTGCTCTAAGTCATGTCCAGATCAATTAAACTCCTTTTGCTGTGGCGCTTGAGTCTGTTCACGCTGTTAGTGGCGTTTAGGATATTACAAAAGATATGGTTTTGATGAACGACTGCATGCTGGCGTTACATTGTAAGGCCGTCTGCTCTCATACACAGGCCAGACAGGCTAAAAGCTTTGCTCTGCAGGCTATGCCCCAGTCAATGGCTTCAACATTTCATCTGCACTGAAGGCCTTTGATGATGGCTTTTGGTGGCTGTTCTAAAAGAGCAGTGGAGCCATGGTAAAAAAGGCTCAGGATCAGTGGGGGGAGGGACCAGCGCATATTAATGTCATTTTCTCTTCAAGGAGCAATTTCACAGCCTAGGGGGTTTATCTTAGGAGGTCCTGAGCTACAAAGCCGAACTGATGATTTGCTCTCGACACTCTTCACTTCCTGAACGCACACATGGGCCCAGGGTGCATCTGCTTCGGCGCACAGACGCTCCAGGCCACACTGACGCTCCAGGCCACACTGACACATGCAGTCACACTCAGTGGGAAAGTTCACAGAGCTCCAGATCGGCCAGCTGAACTTGAGCAGTCGCCTCCTCCACCAGGTCTACTTGGTTGACCCACAGTACTCTCAGGGGCTCATTTATCAATGTAGGTGCGAGTGCTATTTGTGCCACTTAACAGTCTTGTAAATGATTGTAATAAATGTATAGTCTGTTCATCATTTACCATCATGCTGCATGGCCCTGGTCCGCAGTGGGGAATTATGCCCTGTGCGTTCATGTGACCTGTGGAGTTGTCTGATGCTGACAGTGCACATGAGCAAACCATTGATAATCACCGTTGATCTTATGCACATTTATCAACATTGATGGACATTGGTCGTCCCACTTTAGACCAATGGCTAATATGTGTTTGTTTTATAATTTCCCGGATTCTCTGATTCTCTGATATTGGAAAATCGACAACAGGCATCCTCCGAGATGACTGCTGTTGAGAAAAAGAACTATCCATCCATCCATTTTCTTCCCCTTAATCCATTTCTGGGTCGGGGAGTGGCAGTCAAAGCTGCACCCACTAGAAAAAGAACTATATATAATAATTTGAATTAAAATGATAAATGAGCCCTTATATGTAAGAAAAGTTACTAAAGAATGTTACTTCCTTTTTATAGCTCTAATCATATGATTTTGTTTCTGAGGCTTTAAATTATCACAGTAAATGAGTTGAGTGACTACAAGTCCTCTAATTGTGAACACATTTGGACATGGCACCTTCTGAACAGGGACACAGAGGTGGATATTATAGATTAGAGCCTGCAGCTAGTGTCTTATCAGCTGCACTGGAGTCTATGAAAGGGCTTTAAAGGGAAAGGGGTGAAGCAGAAGACAGAGGAGATTAAAGCTGGGGCGGAGGGCAGCACTGGGAAACTCTTCCCCTGGACTCTGATTCCCCCTGGACACTGCCCCTCTGCTGGTGTGAGGCGCTCTCAGCCTTCCTTTCAGAGGCAGCCATGCGGCAGCATTGATATTATCAGGGAATTAGAGGGGAAATAATGCTTGTCTCCAGTCTCAGTGATAACAACAGTGGTAGTTAGAGCTGAGCAGGGCAGGGAGCCCCCCACATTCCTTGCACCAACTGCAAAAAGTGGCTAGTGGCACTTTGGAACAAGACTATAGTGCAGTCCCAGTAAGTTGTATATTTCATATTGATGGGACCTAAAGAAATGCGCTGTGATGAAGTGGTCAAATAATTAGTGCTGCTGAACTGTTGCAACTGCTGCAGTTTGCCAACAGTGGAAGAGCTTATTTCCAGCAGGTGCTGGGCTGAGGTTTCACTGGTCTGTGACACTTTGTTGTAATGATGCTGATGTGTTTATTCTAAGGGGAGGAAGTTGCTCAGGTCACTAAGGTTGTCAGCAACAACTGCCTGATTTTATTTTCCTGATTCAGGACTCTCTGTATTTACTTTGACTTTGCAAAGCAAAATAGTGCAATTGTCAACAATACTTTATGCTGCACAAACATGCAGTTGTGGTAGTTGCCGTGGGGCATCTCTCGCTCCATCAGTCCCTTCTCTACAGATGGGGCTTAAGCCTCATGTCAGCATCAGCCCAATGGAAATGAGCAGCAAAGGCAGAAAACACACCAATAGCTGTAAACGTGTGCGGATGCCGACAGACTCCAACACACATCAGTGTGTATACAGGTAGTGAGCAGGCTGAGGTAATAAACACATGTAACTGACAAGTCGTGAGCAGACTGAGGTAATGCATGCACACAGCATGTCTGCGCTGTGCAATGATACAGAGAAGACACAGACCATCTGAGATCCGAGGCTCCAGCTGTGGAGCTCCTTTTGCCCATTGGCCATTACAGTCTGTCCAATTCAACTGGTGGACATCTGGCAGCACTGAGGAGATAACTCTCTTTTTAACAGGAGCTTCTTAATTGGCTGCTGTGGAGCTACATCAAAAACCCAGCAGACCCTGAACTCCCGCAAGGACTATAAACCCACATAAAAAGGTACACGTCCAAAAGGCTATTTCCATGACTTCATGTCTAGCTCACACTTTTAATTACCTCTTACAGCCTTTTAAAGCCACCATTCGGAGTAGAGACGAGTCTGGGACAGTACAGTACACAACAGGCCTGCACAGTCAATATATATTGATTCTCAGCAATTAAATTGTAATCAGTTCAGCATGTAGCCCATTGAGCGCAGCTGAGGAAAGGAAACTGGGATGAGGAGGTGTGAATGAACTGTGGTGAAGAAAAGCAGAGGATCTGCTTCATTGATCTGTTTGCTTTAGAGTGACTCTTTATTTAAAGCTTGAAGCTAACCACAGTAGCCCTGACCAGTCTGGCTTGAATTTCCTCACTTTGGCACAGAGCGTTCAGCTATTAATTTGCACACAGGAGATTTCTTACAGAAGAAATTGAAAAGAAAATAGTCATTATTCTGTATGTTTGCACCTGATGGGGTAGTCGGCTGCGCTGAGGTTGATGAAGAAGTCCCAGCTCCAGTCTCTCATTGCCAGCAGGTCGGCCATACTGCGCAGGTACATGGTGAGGAGACTGGCTCCGCCCCAAATGGTGGACATGCGCCATGGAGTTACCCTTACGTTTGGATAGTGAGACGCCAGCGACAGCACTTGTCTGTGTAGGTAGTTGGAGCGCTGGAACACCATATTTTATCAACAATTAACAACAATGTTTGTGACATGAATGATCATGATGGAATGCTGCTGCACACAGAACGTACCTGGTCCACATGTATGTAGTAATAGTGTGACGTGTGGTAGATGGCTTTGAAAAGGCGATTCAGTTGCCGCGAAGATCGTCCATGGACCACCAGCACAAAAGCGATTCTCACAGGTTTGGATGGAACCGTCTCCGCTGAGTCCTCATCCCACTGAACATTAACATTGGCTTTACCTGCAAAAGATGTTGGAACCATATTAGCCATATCAAATCTATTTCAACGTGGCCAAATTAAATTAATGTAATTACATACACTGATAAGACCTCACATCATGACCATAGACCGTCTTAATAAATTATAATTTGTCTTAAGTAATGACACAGTATGTTTGGATGGAGAAAAATTAAGCAAAAGTAATATGTTTGTAAGTGCGTGTTAGCTGAAAGATCTAAGGTCATAATAATACCACAAAGTCCAAGTTGCATACAACCAAGGCTCTTCTTTTTGCCTTTCTTCACTAATTTTCTCCCCTTATGATGCTTTAGATTTCATAGCAATGACAACAATAGCACAGAACCAGCAGTCACATGAAACTATTCCCATCATCTCTAGGGAGATGCAGCTAACCTCAAATATTTTTCCACTGGACAAGTTCATGCCACTCCAAACCACCATAGAAAAAGATAAACAAGTCTCAGGGCAGTCCTAGACCAAAAAGAATGGCATCTTTTCTAATTGAGGCACAAGAGACTTGTTTACACACCGCATATAAAGAAATAAGGGCATGCAATTTAAATGAGACTATGTAAAGTCGACTTCGTATGACATAAGAGTATCTCTCGCTGTACTTATTTTGCTGCTGTATTTGATGGATAAATGCTAAATTTGAGCAATTCTGTGGCAAAAAAGGATTTTTTTTTATCAATCTAACCAATTGCAAAACAATTCGCAGAGCTCAAATAATTAAAACAGAAAAGAACATCAATTCATTAGAAACGTATATGATCTGCATATTTACAACTATTATAGGATGGATGATGTTTTCCTTTTGTAGAGTCTTGCCTTTGAGACATTCTTGTCAAACAAATGGGACGAAACCCCAAAACCGAGTAAAATGAAAATAGTCGCTATTAGGAAGCGGTTAATGAGACGCTTGTCCAACGTAAACTTTTGTCAGTCATTTGTTCTATGTTTTTGAGTGTTTGTGTGAGCAAGTGAGAGAGACACACCCTAAGGGGAGATCTGCAGGCCATATCAGATTGAATGGTAATTGGTGGCCAACTAAGAAGGTTCACTGGTTTGCTTTGCACACAGATAATTGGCCAGTCGCTCCACAAAGCACTTTGAGAGAGTATGCGATGCTAGCTGAACTAATGAGCGCTGCGGTGTGTGTGAAGCTCCATTTTACATTTTTTTGACAGCTCAGTTCAGTGTGTGTGTTTCTTTGCTGCTCTGTGTTTTTTCTACCTGAGCCACTTGAACTCATCACTCTTTATTGTGGAGTTCTGAACAATCAAACCACTGAAAATGTTATATTCATATTCAAAAACGTAACCGTAATCTGCATGTGAAAGCCTGCTCCATCAGATATTAGAAGCTAAGCAGGGAGGGCCTGGTTAGTACTTTGATGGGAGACAACTGGGAACACAGGTGTGTATAGGTAATTTTCACACTGCCCTGTTCTTTCAGGCCAACATGGGCAAGTGTATCAAAACGACTCAGTAATTGACCCTCCCCGGACCCTACACTTATTACAGAGGTGTGCTCAGTGTAAGCACAGGATGGGGTTGGTTGGACTAACAATAAGTTGTTTTACAGCTCGTTGCTTTCATGTTGGTCATACTGAGAAGGTTATAGAACTACGTCACACAAGGGACAATACTTTGCATAATGACAGGGTAACAAGCCATGGAGCTGTGTTTGGGTGAGTGACCCTAACTGTTTATAAAGTTGTCCTTGAAGAAACTATGTTGGAAAGTGTCTATATTACTCTTCATGGATGACAAACTTGCCATAGACCAATATCAAATAATTTCCTTTGATCCTATAGACTCATGCTATAAGTTTATAATACTTGTTTTGACATCTTTCGTTCTTCCATGTAGTAAAAAGCAGTCAAGGGTCTAATGCAGAGGTGTCCGAACCGGTCCAGAAAGTGCCGTTGTGGCTGCAGGTTTTCTATCATACCCAACAGGAGCAGAGTAGACTCCAACCATTTCGTCAATTCTTCAGGTTAAGACTGAAATTACTTGAGGAAATGGGTGGAGTCTGCTCTGCTCCTGCTGGGTCTGATAGAAAACCTGCAGCCACAGCGGCCCTTTCTGGACCAGTTTGGACACCCCTAGACTCTAACGAGTCATTCATGCCAGGTTTAAATACTGGGTCTGCAGAATGAAAATGCCTTGTGAGCCCGGTGTGTGAGTGAGTGATTGGTGGTGATGATCAAAGAGGCCGATTGGCTCAAATTGGCAACCTTGCTTCTGTTAGTCGACCCCAGTAGTTTAACCACTGTGTGTGGAGTGAATGAATAAAGCCTATGAAGCGTTACTTTATAAAACCAATGCATTAATTATAGCAGTAATTAGAAACTAATGTGTCTAAAGCTCATTTGGACACACATTGCTGTGTTGCAAGGCAAGCTTTATATCGTCACTAATTTGATCAAATCTAATAGAACTCTTGAAACTCACATTCAAATCTAACTCAAATTGTCCTTACAAAATAACAATAACAATGTCATTTTCTAAAAAATGTTTAAACCATGAGATCTTGATCTACAGATGAAGCTATAGTTGAGTTTTTTGCTATAAAGCAGCCAAGCAGCCACATTTATTAAATGAATGAAATAAGTGCACTTTGAACATTGGCTGGAGTGGGTGTGAACATAAGAGGTTGATCTTTTTAGTCAGAGCTACAAGCAAAGAGTCTGGCCAGAAGGTTAATGCTTAATGTGCTCGGGGTCAGTGAGTGACAGCGTGCTTCTCCTACTACTGCCCACTCAACACATAATTAGCCAAGTTAGGACATGGCAGAGGAAATGGTCCAACACACAGCGTGCTTGCAAATATCAACGTTAATATAATTACTAATGTACCCCCAGGCCTCAAGGACAGGACAGCTATCAAATCAAATCGGACAATTTTGTACTAACAAGGTTAGGACTCAAATTGGGAAGGGAGCGTCAGAGGGGCAGGCAGAGAGACAGATAATGCATTGGCAGGCAGCAGACAGCCGGTGTAAGACAGAAAAGTGATTTAATTTAGCTGTCGTGTTGTTAGAGCCCAGCCACCAAGGAAAGCCCTTTTTCAATTTCTTTGTCTACTCTGATCAGACCGTCAGTTTGAGTGGGGCAGAGTTGAACCATGAGATGACAAGAGCTTAGGTGCTGACAAATGATTGTACGGCTCTTGGGATGACGGGGAATGTACAGAAGTTGCACAGTCACTGGTGCAGCATGAGTCCTGGTAAAATAACCGTGGGCTCGGACTGACAGCATGTGTAATAGCTTCCAGTCTCCAGTGGCCGTCGTCTTGTGTGTGTGTGAATGTGCCAGGCGCTCAAATTTGGGAAACTGATGGCATTATTTTTCACCCTTTGTAGCAAGAATAAAACGGTCCATGGGGTTCTTTGAGGCTGTAGAAGAGAAAAAAAAAACCTCTGCTGTGAGGCCAATTGGACAACATTACAGAATGGGGACAAAACAAACTCAAAACATTATTTTTCTCCATCAATTTATGCTAGAAATTATACAAGACGGATAAGAGGATGTTTGTGGCCTTTGAAATGAAATATAATACTAATGCATGAATTTTATCATACATTAGCTTTTGCGATTTAAAAATAAGGAATGGCCTATATCAATTGATGAAAGATTTGAATTTGACATGAACAAAAGAGTGATCATACGGTAAACTTAAGAGAATTAACAGTTCTAAGCTCTGAAATAGATTGGAGGGTATACATTCTAGCCTACATTTTTAAAAGACAACAAAAAAACATTGTGCAGAGAAGACTTTTAGTAGCAAACGGCTGATAGACTGACTTGAGGCCTATTGTACCAGAACACCATAATTTCATTTTAGTGCATGCAAGAGGACATACATCAAATACTTTCAAAAGGTTTTTAAAGATGCATGTGTTTTCTGATGGCGGTATACCATGTGTCTCATTTATGCACTTGATTTTTGATTGACAAAAATAATCAATGTGTTTGTTTAATGACAATCTATGGAAAATTCTTGCATACTATTACAATGCATTCACATCAAATAGCCTGATTGGAATAATCGGCACCAGAAAATACTAAACAAGCCAACAGTTCCATCCACAACATGAACCCAAACCCACACAATGATCCCAAATCCACCAAAGGCGTCGTTATATACTAACCTTCTATGGGACAGTAGCGGTTGACTTTGTCCGGCATGAGTTGTCCCTCCTTGTGCCGGCAGTACACCTCTGCTATCTGCTGTCGGCACTCCTTGCTCTTGGCCCGGGACAGAGCGGAGATGGCCTCTTTACCGTTGATCTCACACTTGGGCGGCTGCTCGTAGGCGACGTCCTGATGCGCTGATGCTGTCTCCTGCTTCCTGTGCGGGTGCAAGTGTCTGTGCTGGGGCTGCTGAGACGGCACACTCCGGTAGTGTTGGCCCACTTGATGTGAGAAGTTGTTCATTCCCATTGAGAGGTGTTGTTGGGAGTGTCCCACAGGCAGGACCTCATTAGAGGCTCGGCTCATGCTGGGTGCACTGTCCCGCCAGGCCTGCTGCTGTGCGTGTGCTCTCTCCTGGAAATGTGATCTCTGTTTGCTCCCAGGGGCTCCCACTGTCTGTCTATGGGGCTGCGACCGTGCCCCAAAGTTACTATTGTCTATGTTCTCAAAGTCTTTGGGCACCGAGTTCTCATTGTTGCTGTCCACTTTCTCCTTAGGCCGATGCGAGTAATACCCGTCCTAGAGTGAAAAAAGGGGAAATGTGGGGAAAGAGGGGAGGGAAGAGAACAAACAAGAAAAACAAGATCAGAACTGAGCAAGCGTGGTGCATATCAAATGTCGGATTAACAATCAATGTGGCATGTATGCGCGGGCAGCTCCGCATCGAACCGTGAGCCATGAAATGAAGTAGCGAGGTATTGAGTTTGAGCGGTTACAAGGTGCGGGAGGTGAGGCAATGCGCGGGTCTCTGCCACTTCAAGCCATCATCAGATTAGCACCGGTTTCAATTAAATTCCGTCTCAAATGGGCCCAGCAGTCCGTAAATAGATTACCAAGAAGGGATAAGGGACAGAATATGAGTTAGTGTGATGTGCACTGGAGAAATTGCAGTGCAGAGGCTTGTCAGAGGAAAGATGTCAGAAATGTGTGTGTGTGCATGAGGAAAAGTCTACCATCTTTATGCCAGAATAAACTGAAAGCACAAGAAAGAACAAAAGGGGAAAGGGGGAGGTAAAGAGTGTGGAACAAGACACGAATTCTTGTGTCGAAAAAAAGCCATGGCAAAAATGTGCAACAGTGCATCAAATGGAAGAAGCAACTTACAACCAGAGAGCGTGCGACGGTGTACTATATAGGGGAGAGATAGCGCTGTTAAATCACAGCTATTCGCATTGTGTTTCTCCCTTTTTACGAGACAGATGCGTGGCGAGGGAAAAGGCCTTGGTGTCACAAGTGCAATAAAAGGTTTGGGCAGGTGAAGCGAGTAAAGCAGCGATTGTAGAACAGAGAAGCACTCAGCATGGAAATGTCTATAACTGAGCAGCCCCCAAAGCTAGACCTGTTATCAAGTCATCACGCCATGGCCTCTCTGCAGACATCCTGTACCGGCGCAATTACAACAGCAGGGGCTGACACAACAGAGCAGAGAGGGGGATATTACAGAGCACTGACACAAGAAAAGACACACAATATACACACATTAAAGGCAAAGGTGTGTCTTAAAGTCGCTATTGATGATCGCCATGCAAATCTTCTATCTGTAACTTAAATGCTGAAAGTTTAGCAGTATTGGCACATTTTGGCACGATAGAAACAGTTACAAAGGGATTTTTTTTCCACACTAATATTCAGGGTTTTGATGTCAACAACTTTGACTCTCACTATTAAAATAATTAAAATCTCTAGTCATGGATACTGTACTATAAAGTGCAGTAAGTATATTTCAACAATCCCTCCCCTTTGCATACCTACGCCCAGTAATATTTCTAGATTGGTTAAAATCCTTGAGATATTGGTTTAACTAATCAGGGCGCTGCGATGGTGAGCTGGGCGGGTCTAATCAGTGAATGTCTTCTAAAAAAAAAAAAACTGGCATTCACTGAGCCTGGGTCACTGGATCAAAATGCCCCACAGATCTCAAAAGATGTAAATTCACTTAAGTGACTATAGTGGACAGCATTGTTTGCTTTTGTTTTTAAATCCAGAAATCCTGGTTAAAGTGAATCAGACCAGTGTGAACTCACCCTTTGTTTGGTCCTTGCTAAGAATAACATTTGTTTCATTTGAAAAGCTGTCCAGAATCTTTTGTCTCGATTTTATCCATAAATAATATGGTTGTGTTTTGCATTTCTATTGTTCCTCAAACTCAAGGGGGCCCAGTTTTACTCCAATTAAATACATTACTTTTTCATTTGGCAAGAACTTGTCAGCATCACAGATCTGCCAGCACACCGTCTACCCAAACTTCTTTCCCACTCCTCTCTAACTTGCTGCCAGTTTAGACAGAGCGTGTTGTGTGAATGGCAGAACGTGCTAATCCGGTGTGTAACAGCTGCTTATACCAGTGATCACCTAAAAAGAAATCCCCATACTCCGACTTTCAAAGGGAATGCTTTAGCAGTCTCTAATCCGCACACTGCTCGTCATGTTCAGGGAGGTAAGAGGAGTTTGGGTGAGCGCATATGCGGCAGAACTTCTTTTGCTAAAAATCGCTTCGCATTTGTTAAATACTTTGAGGGAAATTAAACGAGACAGTCCTGGAAGAATACAACACTTCCCTGTTGAGTGGAATGTGGAAGTACAAAGGATTTAATTGGAAAAATGCCCGTCTGAGCAAATGTTGCAACACAATATTCCCTGGGTCAACAGTGGAACAAATCCACCTTCATTAAAACACTGATACTACAGATAGACCTCCAAGTAAAGTAATTAAACACTAAGAGCCCCCTTGAATGGAATGCAACATGTTGATCTACCAAAAAATGAGCCAATGCTACAAAAGTAGTATTTAATATAAAATATAAAAACATTGCTATTATGGTCTAACACAGTCATCCAGCTAGACACTCTACACACTTTATGTTTTGTATGAATACTTATTTTTGTATCTACTTTCATTAAAAAACATTTTTGCATTGTTTGTGAATTTTGTTCTATTGAAAAAAGACCCAATAAAAACTCAATTTCACCAAACAAACTGCAAACCCAAATTAGAGTCTCATTCTGGTCTCTGATTGGATAATCTGCTTAAAAATTATACATACATATTATGAACATCATGTTAATTTAATGAAGAATAACTCAATTTCAAACTTGAGCTGCTGCAAGATGTGCTGATGTTAACCTAATGTCTGGGGACACATATTAAAGATGTAGAAAAACAAATACAAATGGCGTCTTTAACTGTGTGTTATGTTAGATACAGTGCTGAAAATAAACCTTTGTACCTAATATCAAAGCTGACCTTACCTCACGAACTAATGGAATAATTATATTTTTCAAGGGTTAGAAATCTTCAGATGTGCTTAACTGATTCAAATAGACAATCACGGATATGAATCATCCCATTGAGCTTATGAAGTGGAAATCAGTATTATGTGTTTTTTGCACAGGGATGATCTCAGAGGGATAAACACAGTGACCCCTAACAACCCACTACGACCAATTACCCTGACCATTTCCTCCTATACCCCCTGCCCACGAGACCTGAGCGCTTTAATCTGGGTTTGCTCCGAGGAGGAGTGGACCACAGGATGAATAGTGGCTGCGGGAGATAGGGCAGATGCTATTGATTATGACTGTGAATTTGTTTTCCTGGGAGAATCCAAGAGGCGATGGGGGGATGCAGACTGGGACTGCCTATATCTCTGCTGCTTCTGCTGCTGCTGCTGCTGCTGCTGAGGGAGAGAGAACACACCGACAAACGCTCATCCATCAGTGAGAGGTGCATTTAGGGAGAGGCAATAGGCCGCCCTCTTTCCATTCTTTGGGAAGGGTTTTGGCCCATTCCTCAAAAGATGCTTACCTATTTCCTCTATGCAAGAAGGAATATTTCACCTGCCCTCTCTTTCTCTATGTTTTCACCGCTCCAGTTTTCCCCCCTAAATTTGTTGAAAAAAAAAAAGCGCATATCTCTCTCTCACCACCTGCCCGCCTCCAATCCCCCACCCCATTCCCGGTATCATCCTGGACTCTTGGAAAAAAAGAAGAAGGCTGCCCAGACCCACCCACTAATGCCATCACTTACTGTTCCGCTCCCTGGGAGACCCCGTATCAGTATCACCTGGTCCCCCTCCACATACTCCCTCTAAACACATCAGTCCTGAGAGGCCAGCAGCAGATAAAGGAACTGTGTGTGTGTGTGTGTGTGTGTGTGTGTGTGTGTGTGTGTGTGTGTGTGTGTGTGTGTGTGTGTGTGTGTGTGTGTGTGTGTGTGTGTGTGTGTGTGTGAGTGTGTGTGTTTGGCTCTGGCTGTTTAATACAGGAAAAAATCTTCAGTCATTATAATCTAAAGTCTTCTATTTCATTTAGTTGCAAAAAACCCCCCAAAAAACAGTTGACTACTAAATAATAGTAAAAGCTGGGGTATCTGACTTTCAATAGACACAGACATTAACAATGTAACAAAGCATCCTAGTTGGATCTATTTAGCACACATAAGAATATTATTTGATGGGCCCTCTGCAAAAATCACATACCACTTCTTATGGGTGGCAGCAAAATAATGAGTAATTTCAGTCTTTAACATTAGAATAAAAATTTATGGAGTACAGTAGCGACGTGAGCGGTGGACGTGTGGAGCTGGCGACATGTGGCTCACAAGCTCAGATTTTTTAAGTGGAATGAAGCCTCTCACTCAGACCACAGTGACGTCTGCTTAGACATAGAGACACATGACTGACACCGCTAACACCTATGGAAAAAAGTATCCACCTGGAGCAAGTAAAATCTGGAAAATCTAACTTTGAAACCTCAGAAAATAACTATATATGTATAAAAAATCCATGTAACTAGTTCCGATAGCTCTCAAAAGAGTTTGGTTGTATCACTAGTTTTCTCAAACACGTATTTTTGGCCTTTGTCACATCTCTGTAAAAGATCAAACGTTTTCCTAATAAATAAAGCAACATATTGTAATCTGATATATTGTCACTTGAAAACATGTTTCTGTTGGAACAAACACAATGTATTTAAGAAAAAAAGTTTGCTACTCCAGATCAAAAAGACAATGTAGTTATTTCAATGTGGCATTAGGACATATACATGCATTAAGAAAAACTAGGAAGAAGCAAATTACAACACCCCTGCCTTCGTGCTACAAGCCAATGTTTTGTGCCTTTAATAATAAACTTGGAGACAGTAGACTGGACCAAACTGGACTGATGGTCAGATACTGCATATCTCAAGGGTAAACGTTGAAGCTGGTCACCTTGACACTATGATCCACATCTCTGTCCTCCACTTTCTAAAGAATAATGTATCTGTTGTATGTGTTTCTTATCTCTGGAAAACGTGTTCATGACGCACATTGTTGGCTGCATGTAAGCTCGCTGCGTCTCTGTGTTAGGGTTGAAGTTTAAATACAAATGCTACTTTCTTAGCCACACAAAATAAGGCAGAAAGTAGATCTTAAAACCTTGACTATGGAATTTCTTAGCCACTGGTAAAAAATTGCAACACAACACAGAACGTTTTAACACAGCAGTGTTAAAACGCTCCAAACATTAAATTAAACAGGA